GAGCCCTGGTTTCCTCTTTACTATTGGTTCCCTGTATATTTTTCTTTATTTCACTTTGAATAGCCCTCACTTTTTCCTCCAGTTTGTGACCATACTCAACCAATTCAGTGAGCATCCAGATTACCAGTGTTTTGAAGTGTGCATCTGATAGGTTGGCTATCTGTTCATCGTTTAGTTCTGTTTTGAGAGCTTTGATCTCTTCTTTCATTTGGGCCATATTTCTTTGTCTTAGCATGCCTATTGCATTAGGAGGAGCGGAGCCTTAGGTATTACCCAGGTCACTGAATTGTGACCCTGTCTGTGGGGGAGGGGTCCAAGAGGAAACAATGCTGCTTGCTTGGCTATCGACCAGCTTTCAGTCACTTCCCCCTCTACCCTCAAGCAAATAGGGCCCTTATGGTGGTGATTCCCACATGGGTGGGTTTGTGTACGTTCTGCGACCCTGTAGGTCTCTCCAACAGACTCTCCTATGGGGCTGGGAGTTTCTCCTGCCATTGCAACCCCTGCTGGTTTTTACCTCCAGAGGTTTTGAGGCTTTCTTTTCCTGCACTGGAAGCCTGGATTGCACAGTCTGTCTCACTCCCTTGCTATTTCTCTGGTTTATCTATATGGACACTTGGGACCACCTGGTCTGCCAGCCGCTGCCTCACCCACCTGCCTCACCCACCTGGTCCTCCAGCTGCCGCCTTGCCCCACATCCTCTCTGCCCCGGCTGCCTGTCTCTGCCCTTCCTACTGGTCAGAATGAATATTTCTTCTTTAACTCCATGGTTGTCAGACTTCCATATAGTTGGATTTTCTAGCAGTTCTGGTTATTTTTTGTTTTTAAATTTGTTGTAATTCTTCTTTGATTGTGCGAGGAGGCAAAGTGTATCTATCTATACCTCCATCTTGGCCTGAAGTCTCTGAAAGCAACATTTAACTCATTATTGAAAATCTGGCAACAAACTCATTGCAAAAAACATATTCCACATTTTTTTGGTCATTTGTTTAATTTGTATTTCTTTTTAAAAAAATTATTATTTTTTATTTTTACTTTTTATTTTTATTTTTAAATAATGTTTATTCTATTACAGTTGTCTCCATTTTTCCCCCTTTGCCCTCCTCCACCATCCCACTCCACCACAGTCAGTTCCCACTCTGTGGTCCAGGTCCGTGGGTCATTCCTACATGCTCTTTGTCTAGTCCCTTCTCCTTCTGTCCACTATTGTCCTCCTTCCCCATCCCCTCTGGCCACTTTCAGTCTGCTCCATGTTGCCATGTAATTTATTTTGTTGAATAGATTCCACTTATAGGTGAGATTACATGGTATTTGTCTTTCGCCAACTGGCTTATTTCACTTCGCCTAATATTCTCCAGTTCCATCCATACTGTCGCAAAAGGTAGGAGTTCCTTCTTTCTTTCTTTTTTTAAAATGCAGATTGATTTTGTTCATTTTTTTAAATGTCCAAATCCATTATAAAATATTAAAAAATTAAATCCATTATAGAGTCTCAGCAATTAAAACAACATGACACCAGCACAGAAAAAATCAAGTAGATGAATGAAATAAAATGAGCATTCTAGAAACAAATATATATATTTGTCTAACAATGTAATATATGATTAAATTTGTATTTCAAGTCAATGGAGAAAATAAGGCTTACTCAACAAATAAGGTTTATGGGCCACTATGACTTGAAATAAAACAAAAATAAAGCCTTATTTCACGCATTATACAAAAAATATTCAGGTGAGTTAAAAATCAGTATGTAAAATCTAAGGAGTTTGAGGAGAAAATACAAAATAGTATTTTTCTTACCCTGAAGTAAAATATTCAAACCCAGAAGCTATAAAGTAAAACATTGACAATATGACTATATTAAACATTTAAAATTATATAGTAACATACACATTTAAAAAGTTAAAGGAGAAGTAATAGAATAGGAAAGTATTTGCAACACATCTAAAAAAAGGGTTAATAGTTTCTTTTATGGAAAAATTCTACAAAGTTTAGTCAAAAAATGGATAAAGAATACCAAAAAGACATTTAAAGCTTTCTAAAAATAATTGAAATAGGCAAGAAATATACAAGAACAGGTTTAGTTTCAACAATGAAGTAACACTTAAAATAACACATCATTGTCAAAATCAGATTAATCAATATTAAAAATATTGGTAATATTAAGTATTGGTGACTGTGAAAGGAACTGGGTATTCGTAGACTCTTTTACTTCATCTTCTTAAAGCAGTCCCTTTAGCATATTTTGCAATGCTGGTTTGAGCATATTCCACATTGAATTAGATCATCATCCCAGAGAATACAGAACTTACATCTCTAAGGCATACATATGTTCAATAACATACTATATATTTTAGAAACCACTGAATGTCAAACATATGTGGATATTAACACATTTATGTTTTTATTTAAAAGATCCTTTTCTTCATTATATTATGCATTTATAGAATAGAGATCTGTCAAATGAAATTACTAAAAGTAGTTCAAGCTAGACCTCATAATACTTGCATCATAACTGAGGGCAAGTATCCTTTAAAATGAAAGACAAATGGTAAAATTAAAAAGGCATTTATTTTGCATAAATGTAATGTTAACAGTCATTTCTTGGTTACATATTTTATTGTTAATTTATATATGTCAGTTTATTAGGTCCTTAACATTCTTATAGGTTAGTTTTAATTTTGCAATTTATTTTGCCATAATAAATATTATGAAAGTATTCAATCATGTAAAAAACATAAGGTGATTTCATAAAAATCATTCAGTGTGACTAGAAACATTCTAGCATCCAGTCCATACTGTGTTGTTAATGCCTGCTTTGGAGTAAATATTTATGGTTTAGGATCTTGTGTGCCTAAAACATATTCAGCTACTGGGCTCTTGGAACTCATTTCCAACGAGTTTCTCAAGGTCAGCATTCATCATTACCTTGGTGTGCAGAACAGGTCTTAGAACAAAGGTTCTACATACATACTGTGCATGTTTTGTTGTTTCTTTACTTTGAAAATTATATTAATATTTGATACCAAAGTTACTGGATTTAAGTTTTATCCATTAAACTTCTATAAACACTGAAATGCATTCAAATATATCTGCTCCAACAATCCTGTGTTAGCTTCAACAATAAAATAGAAAAATCCATCTATTGATTAAATATAATGATTTTAATGCCATAATCTCTAACAAATTAGAAAATGCCTGCAGAGTAGGAATTTAATTATAGACCAAAGTAGCATAGAAAAATATCAATTAATACATATTTTAATTTTTTAACTGTCCCTGACTCATATTTATGTACCAATAACCAATGGATTAGTGAGAGTGAATGTTCCCACCATCCCCCACTAGAATAATTTAATTGGACAGAGTAAAATTTCTTTCTCTGAGGTAATTTGACCTTCAATTATTGCCTCCCCATTTTCTTGGTACATTATTTGATGGGAATGAAAGCTGGCCTCACTCATTCCAATTCAAATTACTGATAAAGGGATTGGGGATTCCTGTGGGAGAGAGAGCATTCTTTATAGTTCACGTCATCTGAAGATGAAATGGCTGGATGAGTTATGAGACTTTGAAATGTTTATTATTTCCCTTTCATTTTATTGCCTTGTCCTACCTAGGACTTAATGTTAAAACTAAGGGCCATATGAATGTTAACCAAATACTTGCAGACACTAGAATTTACTCTTACAGATGTCCACAAAAACTCCTAAATTACCAGTCTTTTAATTTTGTTTTCAACTCATTTCTCAAACTCACTTTTAAGTATTTCGCTTTTTATTATACTGGTAACTTCTAAAACCATCAAAATGCCTTACGACTTAAGCATAATTATGTAGCTACACCAATCTTTGACAATGAGATTTCTTAATAGGTAAATTATATTGATAGATAAAAATATGAACAAATGTAATTGCATGTAAATAAAAATATATGTACAAGAATGAAAATGATAACTTGTATAGGTCAGCCTGGCCTATGGTGTTTGTCAATTACTCTGTTGGTTTTGTGGGTTTACAAATAATCACATATCCAAGCTCTCCTCCAACAAAAGAAAAAGAATAACATACATAAATGAATATACAGAGATAAGTGTATTATGTTATACTGACTGTTTCTCTGAAATAGGAAAGTCTCAAACAACTGTAATCATATCAGAATAGCACAAAGCTATCCTATTTACTGGTGGTGTTTCTCATCTAAAACTCATATTTGTGAAAAATATAAACTGTACAACTTCCACATTCTTGGGCTCCAATAAAATTAAGCTGAAAACAGAGACTGTTATGAGGTGGAGGTGTGGAAATGAGGAGTATCAGGTCTTGAGGTCTCCTAAGCATTTCCAATACTCACAGCAAGAGACTAATATAAAGAACTTGTTTTCATTAAGATACCAGTTGTATTCAAAATACTCCTGAAGACTGACGTGCTTCGAACCGTATGGAGAACAATGGTTTCTGGTTTGTCATTTGTTTTTGTTTGGCTTATTTTCTGTGAATTTCATATCATAGCACATAAAATAACGTTTAACCTTATCGATATTTAATGCTTTTTTTTGCATAAATGAAAATGGCAATTTGCTAAGTTGTTTTTTATATTAGTTATAGATGATCCTGGGTTTTTACAAATGGTTTGCAAATGTTCTAAATTTCTTACAACGAAGTGTTTCTCAGTTTTACAAATTAACTTACAACAAAAAAGAAATAAAATAACACAAAGTACTATGGAAAAAGAAATAAATCCATGTTTACCTTTCAGCACGCTAAAACTAAATGCATACCAATTTTTATAAAATAATCTACTCAGTGAATCTGCTTACTAACAAAAATTGCTGGCAATTCTTGACCAAGGACTCTGTGGTTAAGAAGTCACATCATACTTGTAGGAGAGGTCATATGTAGGATCTAAACAACAACAACCACAAAAGGTTGTGCAGAATAGAATAAGGCCTATTCAGGGCAATTGCTAAAGACTAGAGCTGTGCTGCAGTAAGACGGGTCTCAGACTTCACTCTGGTCACTGAGTTTGCTTGAATTCTGAAATAGAAGAAGAAGAAATAAGCACATGCTGCTGACCAAAGAGCAGCAGTAATTGAAGCAAGCTGTCCAGCCAGGCTAAGGAAATAGTCTATGAGGCATCCAAGGAGAGCAGTTTCAAGCTCCCAGGCCAAGGTCAGGGCGCTGACTTTGAAATCAGCTCTACCACTTACAAATGGTATTTAACTTCTCTGGGCCCCAGTTTCCTCATTTCTAAAACTGGGTTAAATAATAGCATCTACAACATTTAGGAATTAATATGGGTAAAGCTCTTTGTATATTCCTAGAACATAACAAACACTCAATAAATGTTAAGATGTAATAATAATAATAGTATTCGTGTTAATATTTTGTAAATACATATAGTTCTGATCGAATATAATAGGACAACTCTGAGAGGCTGCTGTTCTATGAGGGTATGAGGAAAGGCAACATAATTTAAAGTCAAAGAAAAATTGCAGGACGTCAAGGCCCTGGGAACAGTTCTAAAACTAATCATAGAGCCCAGTATGCGGAAGATAACTTTGACACTTCAGATCGTGGGACTGCTGGGCTTTGTAAATACTATTTCCAAAGATAGCAACATAAGTCAAAGGTATTAGAGTAGAAAAAAAGCTATAATGCTATAGTCAGAGTTTTTGTATTTGACAAAGGTGGGTTCAATTTCCCAGGGTAGTGAATCCTGGAAGAAGCATTTATTTCATAAGCAAGCAGTTTATACTTAATGGGTGGTCACCAAATCCTCTATGCCATGATACTGTTGGAAGACCCAAATTATTAAACGATGTAGTAGAGGACTCTCGGTGGGGGGTGCATTTTAATAGATTTTTAGATACCAGTTGGGTAATAAGTTAATATTTAAAAAGCCCTTAATTTTACATCCTAATTTTTCTTGTAATTGTTGCATACCAACTTACTTGTCTCACTTTATTTGAATGGATGTTATTTAATGCAGCGGGTACCGATTTAAAAAATAATGGTGTCTCTGAGTCTAGATTTCCACAGTACTTCATTGCTTTTATCAAGGAAGCTACAAGAAAGCACAAGTGATATAAGGACTACATTGCAGCAGAAAAACTATGTTCAGTTACTCAAGGATCGTTAGCCAAGGACATTTCCTTTCTTACCTGTGCAATGGGATAACGAAACATCCACATTCTTGCTCTTACAGTCCATGTAAACCTGGAAGAATTAAAATAGTATACTCACAATTAATGTAGGATAGCCAACATGAAAAGATAAAACGGGCTTCAGAATCAAGAATTTCTAGGAAAAACTGCCAATGTCTATGATATCAGACCACCAGAGGGCGGCATTGCTACATAGTCAGGCATATCCGGGCACGCTTCCGAAGTGCCTTTGCAAAGATGAATGCAGCAGGGCATTTTATCTTTTGTACAAATAAGATTTTTCTTTTTTACTGAATTTATTGGGCAGAAACTGATTAACAAAATCATACAGGTTTCCGGTACACAATCTAGCACACGTCATCTGTACCCTGTACTTGTATTGTGGGTTCACCACGCCAAGTCTCCATCCATTATCATTTATCCCCCATACCCTCCTCCACCAGCCCCCTCCCCTTCCCCCAGCAATCAGCACACGGTTGTCCGCGTCTAGGAGTTTGATTTTCATTTTCACTCAGTCTCTACCCTCCCCCTCACACAACACCAGCAGCTGTCAGCCTGCTCTCTATGAGTCTGTCACTATTTTGCTTGTTAGTTGCTATTTGGCTGCTTACATTTTCCACTTCATTTAATAAAAATAAAAGAATTACCTCTCCTTCCCTCTCAGAAATATATAAAATTTTTCTTTTATTTGAAGTCAAGGATCAATTTGTGAAAGTGATGAAAACAGTTGACTTCAATATTTTTACAGTTTGTGCATATTCATGGACTCTCGAAATCCCATTCATGAATGGTAATTTGAGAAACTCACAATACTTGAAACCAAGTTTGATCACCCAACTTCCATTTTTAAAGGTCCATCAAGGGATCCTAAATAATTTGTTTGCCATACTGTAAGGTCTTGCCTCATTTAAGCCCAAGAAAATCTCAAATAAGAACCATTTATCAAAGGTTCTCATCTTAACCCAGAGCAAAGTCAGCCCATAAAACATGGTGAAAGTAAATGTAGAAGTTTCAGTAACTGTAAGATAGATTTTGTTATAAAATAGTGATGTATTTTACCATTGAAATGGAGAACGCTGTATTTAAACACATTCTAATATTATGCATAATACATCTAAAATTTTGCCTTGTATCCTTCTAGCATTAGCCAGTTCTATGTTAGAAGAATTGTAGAGCAGGAGATGTATCTCTCTGAGAATGAATAAACAAGCAAACAAATAAATAATACATGAGCTGAGACCTGGCCTTTGAATAAACGGCTCCTGTTTTTGTAAGTTACAATGATTGATTCAAGGTGACCTGTCAGTGTTTGACTTTTTCTTCAGCTCAGTAAAGCACAAACACATCGCTACAGGCAGTTTGTGGATGCTGATAAACATAATCTCCAGTTCCCTGACCCCTCCGGTGTCCTAAGTACAAAAATAAACAAAAGTCACTCCATTTCCTTCAACCTCTCATTGCTAGCAGAATGTTCCTTATACTAAAGCGACTAAGAAAATAATCCAGGCAGTGTTATTAAAAAGGAAGACACGCACGGCTGAGGAGAGTCTGTGGCTCTTTACTCTGGACCCTCTATCAGGATGGTTGCAACGAAGCTATGATGTTAGTTGCAATGATATTGTTTGCATTTTAAGAAATGACTTGCACAATAAGAACAAAGAATAGAAGGTAGCATTATTGAGTATTTACTAAATTCTACAAACTTTATGTTCTTTGTATGGAACGCATCATTTCTAAGTTCAGCTTCACTAAAGCTTAATGAAGTAGGTATTTCTACTTCAAGTTTATAGAAAAATGAACACATAAGCCCACAGCTTATAACTAGTTATATAGCTAACATCTGGACCCAGGGTTTGACTGTCTTTAAAACCTATGTTTTTAATATCCATCATAATATACTATAACCATGATGAAATACATAAAATAATAATAAGGAAATTAAAAAGGGCAAACTGATACAAAACTCCTGGTTTTATAAATACAGACAAAAACACTAGGCCAAGGGCAAATGTAATTTTCTTCCAATTTAAAAATAAAATGCATCTGTCAATTTATTCCATCATTTCATTGGGTAGTATTTTAACCAGGAAGATGATTTTTAAAAAAGCTTTTTTTCAACATGCCCAATACATAGATTATTTGAATTCCTTTAAATTTTCAACCTTAGATCATAAACTCAGTAGGAATAGGTAACCATTTTCTCCTCTTTACTAATTCTGTTGTGATCTGTAATACTTAGGGAGGACAGCTAATAAATATTAGAGCATATTCAGAAACAAATTTATAATATAAGAAAGAATATACATAGTTGCTTTTTTCCAGTAAAAGAACAATCCTAGCCCTGGCCAGGTGGCTCAGCTTGTTAGAGCATGGTTCCATACACCAAAAGGTTGCAGGTTCAATTCCTGGTCAGGGCACATACCTAGGTTGTGGATTCCACACCTAGTAGGGTGTATATGGGAGGCAACTGATTAATGTTTCTTTCTCACGTGGATTTCTTTTTTTTTACCTCTCTCTCTCCCTTCCTCTCTCTCTAAAATCAATAAACATATCCTTGGGTGAGGATTTTTTTAGAAAAACAATAGTAGTCTAGTGTTTCCCAAAATATGATCCTTGGACCACATGCCTTAAATTAGCTATGATTGTTTAAAATACAGGTTCTTGGGCCAGAACTAGGAACCAGAAAACTGCATTTCAAATGAGCACTTCATATGATCCTTATGCACAGAAATTTAACAACACTGCTCTAGATCTTGACTATAGGGAGAAAATAAAAATTCTGAGTACAAGAAGCCCTCCAGCGAAGAGGGACTATCTATTTACAGCCTAAATTTAGATGCAAGAAAGGTATTCATGTGGAACCCTATGCCAAATTGTAGAGATTTTATAGTGAACAAGAAAATAAAGGGGGAAAGGGTAGCTTACCAAAGATAGCTACTAGATTTAAAGCCTAGGGCCATTAAAATTATATTGTATTGCATAATTTATTTTCTGAATATCTGCTAACACTGAAACAAAATATTCATTTTACAAAATGAATAACTTGAGATCCAGACAGGCTAGCTGATCTCCCCAACGTCTCACAGCCAGTGTGATGTTGTGGAGACTACACTCTCAGACTGTCACATGCTAAGCAACTTCCTCTGCACATAATACAACTTGTCTTCATAGAAAAGCCATATTAAAGTTGACCTTTGCACTATCCTGAGTTTGGAAGGTTGGACATTTTAAAGTTAAAATACGAATAACAGAGACACGGTTATGAAACCCCCCCAAGAACGTCAAAATCTACAACATGAGGACTTTTAAAGATTACTGATCTTCACTGTTTAAAAGTCCGCGTCCAAATCCAACTCTGACCATGATAAGTAAATCATACACGACTATTCTATCCTCCATAAATAGGGAAACAGTGGGACAAAAACATACAAACAAAGGTTTTCAAACAGTGGGAACAGGCAGCACAGGACTGCGTTCCCCAAAACAGAGAAAACAAACGAGGTGAGCTCTCGGATCACCGTGGCTTCCTGTGGCCAAGCAGTTCTGGGGCCACGGCAGCTGGGAAAGGGGACCCAAGCAAAACAAAGCTGCTGCGCTAAGCCAAACAGACAGAACGGGCGTTCGGGAAGAATCGGTGGGTGTCATTTATGAGGGTAAAGGGAAGGAAGAAGACGTGCAGAGAACAAGCTCCAGAAATGCTTACAGGTTTTAACTTTTTGACTCAAGGCAAATCTGCACTTAGGGGGTACTGCCTGAGGCCAGGGTAAGAGACCCCGCAGGAGCGAATGCCGGAAGGTGAGGTGAGCTGAGCTGAAGCTGGTGGAGAACGGAGAACAGCTGGGAGACAAGTGGTGCCTCCTCCTCAAGACCCTCCCCCTAAATGCAGGTATTAAAGTAGGGAACCAATGGGAATAAGAAAAGGGGTATATTTCTTGTTGACTTAGTATTTACTCAAAGGAGAAAAGAAAATAAAAATCCAGAAGTGTCTGGAGTTTTCCTTGAATTGGCAAAATTAGGTGTTCTTTCATCTGTAGAAATGGGGGCTTGTGAGCTTTGTCAATTTTAGTGAAATAAAACTTATTTTTTGCATACCAGGATGTGTGGACGCTCCATGGAGATGACGGGATAGAGAAGGAAGCACCATCGTCCAAGAGGACAGAGAAAAACCCTGCAGTGGACACTATTTCAGGGACCACAAAGGGAATTGGGTCAAATTATATCAAGGAATGACGTGCGAGAAAACATCTTGTCACCGCCAAGGCTACTTGCTTATCATCAAAAGGACTTCTCGTCTTCTTTCTAGAAGCTTTAGGATAACTGATATAACCCTCGCCAAGGTGGGGCGAGGGACAGCAGGACTAGAATTAAGGCTTTCAGAATCCTCACTCACTACTTTGAGTTACAACTGGAATTTAAAACTTAAAAGAGAAAAAAGTACAGTCCATCAGAAATGTTCTAGCAGAAAAGGAATTGTTATAAAGATGAAGATGGTGACTCTCAAGCAGGACAATAAACAAAATGAGGTGGTGAATCAATAACTTGCCTTGGGCATTAGAATGAATTATTTTTTCATGATTACCCTTGAACAATTTACTGCTTTCACATAAATAACTCAGTTTCAATAGCTTTAAATTACAACAGAAGATACCTTACTTAGACACATCAAGAACAAGTCTTGCTGTAAGCTGATTATAGGCTCAATATACAGCATCTCCATCATTCAACAAAGTCCTTGGAATATCCACAATTCTCTGACACTGGGTAAAATGCTAGAGGGAAAATGATGAACAAAATGCAGTCCTTGCCATCTGAAGCTCTTGACTAGTTTGCACAGGAGAGACATGATCAGACATCTAGTTACAGAACAGTGAGGAGAGGTGTGCTGTTCTTACTACTAGGGTGTGCTGACTGAAAGCAGTCCGTGGTCTGCTTGGCTGTGTACCCGTCTGTGGCAGAGGCTGGACCAGCTGTTCTCTGAGGTTCTTTTCAATTCTTTTATTGAATTGAAAATCCTGTTTTTACAAGGCTGCTGTTCCCATTGCTATGGAAATGATGGTCATATGTATCACAAATTCAAACGCGGGACTGCAGGACTCAAGAGGAGGACAAGATGAGCTGTAAAGGGGCACAGCTTTCCTCCAAGCCAAATATCTTTGCTAATGAGCAAGTATGTTAAAAACTAAATGTGAAAAAGAAAGAAAAGCATATGAGAAGGCAATTGGCTGGGATGGTGGGATATGTGAGTGAGGTTCTTCGACAGATGTGCCCGGGGCGAGCTCAGTAGATAAATCTTAGCACCTTTCATTGGAACGTTTCTCAAGCCAAATGCTGCTCCCTGGACAATCTACAGCAGCAGCCCCCTTTTTTGATGTAGAAGGAGGCCAATGGGTCTCTCCCCAGGTAAAGAGGGAGATTTGTTGTCCTTTGCCCCGGGCCATCTCCTCTCCAGGTGACAGGTGACGCCTAACTTTAGGAGCTGCTCAGTGGCATCAGGACAAACGCTGGTGAGAGGAGAAAAACCACCGTCTTTCTGAAGTGCTTTCAGTTGTACCCTCCTTGGCCTGGGTCTTGGCGGGGAGATATTGTCTAAGGACCACTGTGCGCTGCTCGTCTCCTCTGAGAGTGTTTCAACCCCACTCCTGAAACACCCCTGAACCATCCCTCCCCTGCGATTGCAGGGAGATCCCATGTGGCTTGACTTTCTGTCTGAGACAGGGTTTCAGAGGGGCCCGGGGGATGAAGCTCCACGGTTAGCAGCAGAGTTTTCGCAGCAAAGCGGCAATCTCCCCTTTGAGCAGAGTTGGCTGGCATATGCGATGCCCACTACATCCTAAGTCTATCTTCATTTCTCTCTATCTCATGTGAATATCTCCCCCTAACGTCCCAACACATACACATACCTAGAGGCTTGATGGGATCTCCTGAAAAAAAGAAATGTACAGTAGTGGAAGGCGTAAAGTCCCACATCCTTCAGGGAGAATGGGTATGATGAGTGTTGGAACAAGAAGGGCCAAGATCCCAGAGCTGAGAGAGATGGTGAAAGCCCTTCTACTGAAGAGAAGAGAAGGCATCGGTCCAAACACAAGCTGTGTCAATACCTCAACAAGCACGGAGACTCCAGAAGAGTCGAAAAAGGTCACCCCACTGCAATCCAGGATCAAAGGACATTTCTCGTTTGGGCAGGGCTGTGACGCCTCTTCTGCAGGAGGAACACAGACTTGAGTTAAGGAGAATTCTTAGTTCTGCTGCTGATGTTGTTGAAAAGTGAAACTATAACGGCGGCCTTACGTTTAACAAGACTAATTCTGTACACTTTTGAATCTTTACATTTTCAATTAATTGCTAATTATTTCTAAACTCTGATTTTTCATTATTTGGATGTCATTTCGGGTAATTATTATATAACTCAGAGATGAAGATGGCCTGGGTTGATTACCAGTATCATTTCGTACATGCACAAACTGAACCCCAGCAAGCTTACATAATTTTGAAAGAAATACCTGGCAGTTAGTGCTCAACAGATGAAAACCAAGGCCTCATGACATTCTGCATAGTACTCCTCCCACAGTTATAGCACACGGGTTCCTTCACAGGTATGTCCAGAGGTAGGGCCCTGTTTTGAGGTGCCTGGAGCTTATACAATTTTGAAGTCATACTTTTAAAGAAAATACTCATTGCTGAACCTTGTCTCTTGGCCTTGGAAGGGGTCTGAGGGAGGGGCCCTGAAATTTAAGTTTCATTATGTTCATGGTAAATCTGCCTCTGAAAACACCTATTGGGAAAAATAAATTTTTTTACTTAGAAGTTCATGACCTCTTTTTCAGTGATGTTCTAAAGGCCACACTTTTCTCATGTGAAATGACGTGTTTCTGAAGCAATGACAGGCCACATCTGAGGTCCCTCTAAGGAGAAATGAGGCTGTCAGGGCAGACTTAGTAGGCTAAGATTTTGTCACCGTCAGAAGACAAAGTCCATCAAATAAATTCCAATTAATTCCTATGAAGTTCTCTAAAAAATAAATTCTTAGTTGAAACAACTTTGCCACTTAAAATAACCATGATTTTCTCTTATGGTATTATTACAAAGTGGGAATATGGTAGTTTCTCAATTAGCACTGACAGCCAGTATAAGGGAACTTGTGTATTTTTAACAACTTAGAGGAGAAAAACAGGTGAGTAGAAAATATAGAATAAATACTGAACATTTATGTGTAATAGTAACAGGAAAAGGAGAAATGCTACAAAGTAATTTTAATGTATTTGAAATTTGCTATCCAGGTATAGGATTTGCCTCTAAGTTTCACCTTTAGGTCTGTATGAGTAGTTATTAACTGAAAAATAAGTAGAACATATACTGTGTTCAAAAATTTTTTTCAAATGTAGTGAATGGAACCACTGTGAGGAAGGTCCTATGTCTTCCAGGAGCTTATCCAGGAGTGGCAAAGATAGGATTGGTAAATAAGATGATTTAAAACAAAAAAAAGAAAGGGAATTTACAAGAAGGGGGGGGTGTCTTCAAAGTGATTAAGAAAGCTACACGTAAAATTAGACTTGAAGGATATACATACGTTCAAAAAGTAGAAATGATATGGAGATGTGAGGACTCCCACCATGGAAAGAGCTGTAACTGAACACTGAGGGTAGCTGGAGACGTAAAACTCCTTCTGCTCCCGCCATGCGACCGACACTTAGTGAGGACCTACCGCGTGCCGGGCACTTCGGGTGCGCTTTCTGTTTCCCTATTTCCCCCATGGGAAGGAGGGGTAAGCAGTGAGTATAAATTCAGGCTGAGCTATCATTTGCCTAAAATAGCAAATTAGAACCTCAGTCAAAATGGGAAGTAACCACAATTTAGCTCATTTACTGACCACTCAGTAGTAACCATTATCATGCACTATGTGCCTAATTAAACATAGGACCTACTTCTACTATGCAAGGGCTCTTATTTAAATCCTCAGATATAATGTGTCCCTGCTTATTATCAGCGATATTAGGGAATTCTGATCACAGGAAACAGAAAAATAAGTATCCCAAGCAAAGAATAAACAGTGGACTGTTGACTGATGTTTATTAATTTTATCGTCTAGTCTCATAACACTCGCGCACAGGTCGGTGCTACATTAATTGGTTTATAAATACTTTATTGCACTTTGTTTAGAGTTAAAGAAAAAGAATTACTAGATTAATACTAAATAAGTTGCACATTATTTAATCGGTGACATGCATTTCTTTGCATATTTTTTTATTTATAAGTACATTTTTATATAATTTGGAAATATTTGATTGAATTTTCAGAGCATAAAAATCTCTAAAAATTAAACATTAAGTAGGCTTTCTTTAAAAAGTTTAATATTTACATGATATACCTATATAAAAATATATAATGGGTTAGATGTTTTCTTACCAAGTTAGATATAAAAATAGTTTTAATAATCATATTGACATTGTACCATGGAGTTCAATATTTAAAGGTTCCTATATACATACTTTTTAGTATACCTGTTTTAGAAAATAAAATGTATATTATTCCTTTAAAGGTTGTAGTGAATTAAAGTGAACTCATACCAGCTTTTCTGACATCTTTTCAATATGTCAATTGTGTCCATATCTCTCAATTCCATATTTAATTACGGCATGTGGGTAACTTGAAATTAGTCATAATAGAATATTTACACCATGGAAATCGGCAAATGCTACAAATCAGTGCTTCTCCACCATTCCACACCATATCCTCTACTCCAAGAGTTGTTTTTTAAAGATTTACCAGCACATTACTGGTATCATGTGGATATTCTAGTTAAGTATAAAGCAAATAGTCAGTAGTTTTTAACAATCAAATGGCTTTGATTAAATAAATGACTTAAAATACTACCACCGCTAATAATAGTTCTTAAAATGACAGTGATGACATAATTTGATATCAAAATTAGTCAATTCCTTTTTTTATCTACTTATACAGTTCTGTTTTTAACAAAATACATGTCTTTTATAATACAGCATACATTTCAAAATAAGCTACAATCTAAAATTCATAGCCCAAAACTTTATATAAAGTTATTAATATTTAATCCTCAAAAATTAAAAATTAAAGAAATTATATATTTTTCTGAGTTTTTTTTTATTTTTAAAAGGGGGGAATGGAGGGAGCAGGAGAGGGAGAGAAACATTGGTATGAGAGAGAAACACCAATTGGTTGCCTTTTATATATGTCCCAACTGGGGACTAAACCTGCAATGTGCCCCGAATGGAAGCCAAACTACAACCCACCGAGAATCGAACTGGCAACCTTTTTGGTCTTTGGGATGATGCTCAACAAACTGAGCCACACCAGTCAGGGCAATTTTTCTGAGATCTTTAAACCTTATTCGTTATTTATTAGAAAACATAATTGTCATTTGTATTAGCTGCAAGAGAAGCTTAGTAAAAATAAACTATCATCTGAAAAAATACTAGCAGCTAGTTTGTTTAGAAGATGTCAATGCATTACTTTCCTAAAAGAAGCTACATAAATTATCATTCATAACGATAACTATATGGCATGAGCTCTAACATTCCCATTTGTTAGCTGGACAGTCATGGCTAATCAATCATAGTACCTTTTCCATTGAGGTCAAAGAGGACCTGAGAATTTTTATCTATCAACTCAGTGCTTTAGGAAGCCACTGTGAGTTCATAAGAAAGTTATTTGTCAATCTGAACTTAATACTACAGTGAAAAATTAATCTATGTATATATTGTAGAGAAAGATTAATTACTGGATCTAAATGACTAGAAAATGGTGCTAAAAAAGGTACAGAAAATTCTTTAAAAAACAAGTTTCCTTTTTTATCCTATCACATTTATTTCACTTGTAATTTATACTTGCCATTTATATTTTGTGTAATCATTTCATAATTGATTTGTTGATAATTTATTAGAATATTTGGGTTTTATCAATAGTGATCCAAAAATTTCCCTTTCATTGTCTCATTGTGGACTTATTTTGTATTACATTTTTACATCTGAATTTCTTCTTTTCTGTTTCTTTAATTAATATGTGCATATTTTTAGACCATCCAAAACAAAAAAAATAAAGTAAAAGAGCTGTGCCATGTAGTTATAGATAATAATTTAAGTAAGTTATTTTAACAGAAGTAATTCACGATGTCTTCAGTAAGTAAAAAAAGACATTTAATGGGAAAGTTACCATTTCACTCAAATGAAACTTTAAATACAATGGAGATTTCTGAAATCATTCCAAAAATAGATGACATTTTCTTTTATACAATATCCTCTCAGTCCTACCATTGTACTGATTTTATGGCTATAACTATGTGCTCTAAGCTTTTAAGTAAATCAAACAGTACAATAAAAATCACATTGTCCTAGAAAAGAGTAAAGTGAGTTCACAGCTAATATCCTGCATTAAGCAAAATGAGGTAAGCTTGGAGCATGTGCACAGGAAACAACTAATCTATATCCATGTAGGATGTGGTAAATGATGGGCTTTATCTACAGAAAACAACATTTTAGAAAAAAAATAAACAATCAGTTGTGGGCGGGCAATTAATTCCAGACTGTAGAAGTTAGCTCTTTCCTGTTGAATATTCATTAACACCTTTAATTAAAAAATGTTCATGGTTGAATAATTTAGGAGTGCGTTCCATAAACTTCAGTAAGTTCTTGACAGTCTGTGAAGACACATAATTTTTTTTAAAAAGGCATTTTTCTGTTGATATCGATTAACTAATGAGAAGCAGATTTGCATCTTTAATTTGCCAAGAAAACAAAAAGATAAAAACTATTTAGGACAAACGACAACACCATCTTTTGAAAACATAATATATGTATTATTGAGCATTTCATTTAATCATTCATTCATTCACTCAAGCACTTAATCAATATAGATGTTTTGGGTGCTTATAATAAGCACTGTCCTAAGAAATGCAAGTAGACTGGTGAACAAGAGAGATGATGGTCCCTGCCTCAGTAGACTCATAACCAAGTTAGTCAACTAAATTAATAATTTGAAGTATAAGAACTCTGGAAAAACTAGGCAGAACGTGCTAAGGTGGTACAGGTGTGACTTGATGTAGTAGACAAAGGCCCTCAAAAATGCCCATATCTGAATCCCCAGAAACTGTGTATAAGTTGCCTTGTATGGGAAAGAGACTTGCAATTTCATTAAAGTAAGGCTTTGATTTGGCATTAAAATGGGGAG